GTCCGTTTTTTTTCCATTTTTGGATATGCGATTTCAATATCCATTAGTTATTTGTTTAAATTAACCATGAAATGTCCTATGTTATCTAATGGATAACCATAGGTTATTTTTTTTTTTTTACTTATTTATATGTCCATTGGATGATAATTTGAGTTATTTTTTTAAAGTATTATATAAGAATACAATAACAAATAAAGATTATGTTTATTAAATTACTGTTTTAATGAATAACAACAAGTTCAACATATTATTGATTTATTTTTTAAGTCATATTCTTTCATATATATATCTTGAACATTTAGGTACTTATTATAATATAAAAAACAATATTACTAATATTCAGTTTTTGAATAGCACCATATATATCATATTATAAAATAGACAATCACTATATTTCAGTCTTTGAAATTAACATCATATTATAAAATAAACAATCACTATATTTCAGTCTTTGAAATGATCCTTTTCATAAAATTATAAAATATAAACACAATATAAATGTATTTCAGTCTTTGGAATTAACATCAGTTTGAAACTATTAATACCTACATATAAAATTTAAAAAGTAATACATACAAATACATATTATATTATAACCAAAATTCATTATTTAAATATTTTAGTGCTTTATATTTGATAATTATCTTGATTTTTTTTTAGGTACTATACAAACAAAAAAAAATTTAGTTTTGTTTACTATTACATTGTCTTAAATTACTTAAAAAACAATTTTTTATAAAATATCTAGGTATAAAAGATAAATAATTAAAAATTATAAAAGTGTATGATTAATTATCTACTAAATCCCTAAATCATTTGCTGCATCATCTTTTTGTTTGAGTAATCTGAAATAATTATAAAATATTTAAGAAATTACTCTGAAAATATTCATCATATCTGATGTTTATACTTGTTTTTGTATCTAGCTTCAGCATGTCTCATCCAGTTCTTAATAGAATGAATAACATCAGACTCTTTTGAATCTTTGACGTTTTTGAATACATCATCTGTATAAAAATAATTGAATGATTGTATTAAACAATATGAACCATAAAAACAATTAAGCATCAGTAGAACTATATCTTACCAATAATTATCTTGGACAACAATAAACTTGACAATGGTTTTTTTCCTTTGGCTCCAGTCCAGTTATATGATGCAGCAAATTTGTCAGTGAAGAGTTTTCTTAATATTAATTTTGTTACATCGTCAGTTTTAATACCTCCTATTTTACAAACAGCATTGAACTAGAACAAAATACCAGTCTTGTAAAAAATACTTTAAAAATTGTATTTAAACACAAACAAATATAATATTAATTCAATAAGTATTTGAAATACAATAAATTACTTGTCAGTTTTCGTGTATTTAAATACTTTTTTTCACTTTAAAATTGTAATATCATATATTAGTATAAGAGTTAGAACTTATTGTAGGTACTACCTACAACTTAATTATTTATACACACACATTTATCATAGTAATTAACATATTTACCAATTTTTTTTTGTAAATCATGTCATTTTTTAGCTTTTCTTCCAAACTAATTAAATGTATTTCTTCGGAAAGTGGAAAATCGTTAAAAATGTCTTCAATTCCTTCATCATCAATATCATCTGCAGGCTGTGATGAACAGACACTGCTAATTTTTTCATCTAGACGTTTTAGAGTTAGTTTAATAAAAGCTAAATTCTTCAATACTTTTTCTTGAAATTCTGTTACAAATTATAAAATAATATGATAAAAATTAAATTATTAAATTATAATATGACAAATGTTACATTTTTTTATTTGCTTTAATTAAATATTAAGTTCTAATTAATATTCTCTATTATACTCTAATTGTTTCTGCATAAATTAATTTAATATTAAATACAGTAGGAAAACACATAGGTACCTCTATTAGATATTATTTCGGAATAGTTGTTCTGATCATTTATGTGTTGATATTTTGAATGATTAATTGGCGAACCTTTAAAACCAATTGACTCAGCTGACTCTGCAGGTTGATGGTAAGAATTGACCAATTGCTTTTTGATATGTTGACTATACAAGGTTTTTTCTTTAGGCTTTTGAATTTCAGAAGTTGTAGCGTTATTATGATAAAGTGTCGATACCTACATCTAAAATATTACCGAACAAACAAAATAATTTAGGGTTTTAAATATATTAAATGTACTCTATAGGTATAAAAAAATACTGATATTTCTTTTTTTTAAAGTAAATACCTTCTTCGTCCGAAGAGTGCACATCATATATCTTTCTTGGTTTTTTAATATCGCCAGCCGATTCATCAGTAAATAGTTTTGATTTTACTTTTAATTTTTTCTTTACAGAACTATTGTTAGAATGATTTGAATCGACAGAAGAATCAGTACATTTTAGTGCCCGAGTCTCATCTTCATCTACTGTGAATAGTAAAGACATAGGTATAATAATATATTATAATATGTTTGTTAAAATTATAATAAGATTAGGTTATTACTGTAAGAATTGCATATTTTTACTACTATTATAAGAATTTACCCAAAAATTGAGATTTATCCGATTTTAACGTTGAAGATGATGCTTGTATGTACATTTGCTGATCCGTTGGTTTAGGTATAGGTTTAATTTTTTTTATGATTGATGTACATTTTTCATCAGTTGAGTCATCAGATGAAGTATAAGCTCTTTTGTGGCGTAGTTTTCTGTTCACTTTATCTTTTTCGACATCAGTTGTTAGTGGTACATCACGGTCTTCTGCTTTCTTCAGTTTCTTCATGCCTTTGTCAAAATTATCTAATTTTGATTTTATTAAATTTTATTAAACAAATTCATACATTTAAAACAAAGTATACATATATATATATATATAGTTCTAATTAATATACCATAAGTTCCTAAAATTGTTGACCCATATTTAAGCCATTCTGGTTTAGCTACCATATTTTTTTTGACTGCCGAGATGTAATGCCTGTTGCTTGAAAAAAAATTATACGGTGGCCAGTAACAAGCCATATTTCCATCATCATCAATGGGTACCCAACACTTGGGAACAATTTGAATGGTCTCATCATCATATTCAACAACACTCCATTGATGAGTTATGTTATCCATTATTAAAAGTAAGGCAATCTAAACATTTTATATGCAACAAAAATAAATAAAATTCAATAACTACATGATATGTGCAATATTATACCTTTGTAATATTATTATTTTATTATTTATACATTTATATGTGCAACTATTTACAATTATACTAGGTTAATACCTGTTGTAATAATATTATTATGTTATATATACATTTTTTTCTTTCAATAATTATTTTATTGTGTACAATCACTGTGTAAAATGGGAAACACTGCAAAACCATTATTGCCATTATAATTCCATGGTAAAGTTATACACTTAGGTATATTGCACATCAGATATAGGCCAAACTGAAATATTTTGAGCTAGACATGTTACCATATAACAGTTTAATAAAGAGGACTGACAAGGCACTTCATACAAATTCACTTTATTTAAATAAGGTTTTCCTAAAATCACCATGGTTTTGAGATAATTATTAAATACATAATTAGGAACTTCTACAATAGTGTTATTAATCATACAAACATTATCAGGACTTTTTACGGAAATAATGCAATTATTAATTTTTGCTTTTTTAAACTGCCTATTTATGTCAGATGTGCTCCATCAACATGATTTTCAGAAAATATATCTTGTTCTTTGAGTGTAGATAGTTTCACAATAGATTTCTCACTATATCTTCTATGAATTTGTTGTATAGGCCGTTCCGATTTTCTTAGCTGCATTTTTAAGATTCTAAGGCAGTTTTCAAACTGAAAAGCCCTGTAACTATCAACAGGCCCCAGTAATTTAACTTCATTTACTATATGCAATAAACCATAGATCGGATGGATATTATGGGATACGTATTGTTTCCCATACAAAACTTTGAAAGTGTCTACAAAATGTTCTAGAAGTTCATGAATCATGGGCATAATCTGCAAAAACATCAAGTAAATGTTGACTACTAATAATTCTTAATGCAACATGAAGGGTTAATATATGAGAGTAAACTTGGGGATGCAAGACATTGTACAACACAACAGGTGCAGTATATAATAGTAGCTGGCGTAACTCAGTTGCTTTCCATCTCTTTAAAAATTACAACATAATTCATAAGATTAATAATGATAAATATACCTCATATATATTGTAAGGATTAAAAAATCAGAACTAGTTGTTCATAAAATGTACATTTTATTGGACCATAGTTAGTATTGTTTTTCCCCTACAAAACTATTCATTTATTTTTAATTATTTATTTTATACATATAAACGGGTTTCCCCTTTAGCATTAAAGTAAAAATACAACAATTAGTATAATAGTAGGACAATAAATAACTTACAAATATTATATGTAATACAATAAAAAAAATAAAACATCGAAAAAGTATATTAAGTTATTACAGTTATTTATGTTATATAACAGTTTATTAACAGTATATTTTAACAGTAATTTTAAACAATACCTACATTAAAACAAATTATCATCAAATGAGTGGTCTTCATTGGCGAGTGACATCATATGGCTTAGAGGCCCGTTTGTTAAAAAATAGCCAAGCCATGAGAGATATTTAATTGGTATCTATGTTTAAAGTTAACTATGCTATGTTTATGCCTTCCATAATATTATTATAGTCATTTGATAATAAAAATTGATAAAAAAAACATGTTATTTAAATTTTTAAATTAGGTACCTACATAAATTAACATTTAAAACTTCTCTGGCCTAAATGTTTTCTACGCCTACCACAATGAGGCAGGTATATATAATTACAATACATTTTTCACACTAAAAATTAAAACAAAATTAAATAATGTATATTATTTATATAATCGTACATACACATTATACATACAATAAATGTGCATACAAACATACATACAAATACATACAAATATGTACCTATGTGTATATAAATGCCTTTCTTTTTAAGAATGGATTATTTTTTCTTCTTGTTTTTTCTGCAGTTTGGGCAAAACCATTCTCCTTCGGGCTTGGTTATTAAATTAACACATTTGAAATGGAACCATTCAATATCACACTAAAATAGTAAAACCAAGCAGTTAAAAAGTATAATCTATAAAAACCAAACTAATGAAACAACGTTTACTATACAAATTGAATGTTATTAAACTTTTAAGGGTTAGGTACAATATTAAGAAAGGTGTTTATGTAGAATATAAGGAAATAATGTATATAAATAACTATTAAATTAAAAATAAAATTCTTACATCTGGGTTAGTACAGCCTATCATTTCACCGAAGGATACTTTTTTGCACAGACAAAATGTTGGTTCATTGGGATCGATAGGCATGTCTACATATGCTGAAAGTGCGATTCCATCACCAAATGAAGCACCAGACGTAACCGCAACATTGTCAACGCTGTTGGTTGAGTTTGATTGATCAGTAGATGGTTCACTTTTTATTTTTAAACATCCTAAAAATATTTAAATACAATAAAATAAATTTAAACAATAGGTACTATAATTATTTTATCCAATTACCTTTTTTTGGATTTAAATATTGTTTATCGTTAAGGGCTTTTTCTTGTATTTCGGCCTTCAATTGAACTCTCTCTTCAAACTTTGACATTTCATTGTCGAAATTTATAATACTTTTATCCACCTGAAACGTATGCACAATGGAATACAACAATATTCTAGGGTTAGGTACGTTAACAAATCAACATCTACATACCAATGTATAGTTTTGTATTGAAATCTGAACTTTATCATCAGATAACGATTTTACTTCGTCATACTTGGATTGTATACTTTTCATAATTTTTTTCTGTTTCTTTAAAGAGTATTTTTTGATATTTGAAGTATAATCGTTGGACATTTTGTCAATTTCAGCTATGAGCTTTGTGGATTTTGTGTCAAGGTCTAGCATCAGTTTTAAATTTTGTTCTAACTCTTCAGGAAGTTTGTTCAAACCTAAAATGGTAATCTGTTAGTTCTATTTTGGAATGCTATCCTGATAAAGTACTTACTGCTCTCAACGTCATCGAAGTATGGTGATGAAGCCATTATTGTTTAACTGGTTTAGAAAAGAATTCTAGTGAAAATAAATGAAGTACCTAAATCACTCTCTTAAACCATTATAATCTGGAATTTACTATGTTGTATCAACAAGTGAATTCACACTGCTACGTAGACAACTATTCGTATATACAAGAACACCGTGGTTTCTGAAAACAAAACACAGAGCTGTGATTGGCTGAATTTAGAAGTTAGGTTAGGGTAGTAGTATCACCATAGTATTACCATATCATAGTTTAGATATCATATTGAAGAATCTAATCTTACTCGTGGCCACGGATATAGATACTATGGTTTGCACGGCGGCCCATATCGGATCACAGCACAATGTTCTTATCAATTCTGACAAAAATTCACGTTTTACTAGAGCCCTCTACAACCACTACCAGGTTACGGTAACCAACCTGGTTAACTAGCCACTGGAGCGCTAGTATTTCTCGACTTTTCTTGTATAGATACTATCATAGCTTGAAACCGGTTACCGGTTTTTAACGGAAAAAGGTTACCATGACCAATTTTGGGTCTGGTAACCGCTTCCCGGTTTGTAAGTTTAAATGTTGAGAAGCGGTTAACAATTACAAGTAACCACCAAGTTCAATTAATGTTGAACGTGAAGCGGTAACCTTTTTTTTAAAAAACCGGTCAATTCGACAAAACCGGAAATATCAAAAAAAATATAACGTTATATTTGATTTTTATATTTTGTTTTTTGAAATTGTATTCTATTTTTTTGATTAATAATTTTATTTACAAGATAATAAATGTAATGTAGCCAATGTAGGTAATAATAAATACGGTTAAATGTGGTATATTGTCTGTAGCCCTAATAATAAGTAATAATCAACAATCGTAGATACTAAGTACGATTCATTGGTCCATAGCACGGACTAAGACATAGGCGCAATTTCAACATAAAAACTGAGGGTGCTTAAGCTCTGCATTTCCTGGGTATTTAAATTAAATTATACCTATGAGGCACTTATGACTTTTTTGAAAAAAAATGGTTTTATGACAATTTAACATTGAATAGTTATAGTGCATTAGGTACATTTTATAAAAATTAATACAATAGTAAATTTTAATTTATTAAAAATTTAAAACAAATTATTTATATTTTATTCAAAAAATATGACAAATAAATATTAGTGTACAAGGGGTGTAACAGACAGACTTGACAAAAAAAAAAAAAAATGAAGCTACTTAAATGTGTGACAAAAATTGTTAAAATTATAAAAAAACATAATAAATATTGATTAGAACAAAAGTTATTCCAAAAGTCAGTTATACTTATATCTGTACCTACTATATTATATAATTCGGCATACACAATCACTCAGGCTGTCGGAAACTTGGAACTCCAGTGAACACCAACTGACAAGTAATTCGTATATCGTAATTATGTTTTTGTCTGAATTAGATGTGGGCACTGAAATGTTTCTATTAGTAAATACTCGCGATACTATAAATTGTCGTAGAGCTGAGTCGCTGCTGAACGTGATAACACTGATAATAATATAACCGACTACAACGACCGGGCTTAGTAGAAACATTGGAAAATAATGATTTATATTCTAAATAGATTTTAATTCGATAAAATTACAATTGTCGAGTTCATTGTTTCATTCATTATACTCTGATACCCTCATGTCTGATGATAAACTGTTTTTGGTTTTTTTTTTTTGTAAAGAGAAGTTTTGATACATAAACACATATTTATTAGATGGTGCTAATTTTAAAATTGAGGGTGCTAATACCCCCTAAGCCCCCCCCTATTTGCGCCTATGGACTAAGATATACAGGACTGGACACGACCAGGTTGGAGGGTGTGGGGGGTTGACTACGAAATGTTTTACAACAGGCAGTGTTCGGGGGGATATTTTCCTTTTAGCATTACTAGCGCCGTCTTAGTGGATACTTTTGGAACTAGATGACAATAATGTGAAGCACGGTTATCTACACAGGTTGGCGCACGGCGTGTTATCGCTGGTCGATGCGGCGAACGCAGTGAACTAAAGCGCTAGTAGTCACAAGGCCTAACTGGTTACCGGCTGGACGAGTTCACTCGTGATGAAATAATTCTAATCGTGATTATAAATTATAATTTTTTTAATTACTTTATTTGAAAGCTGAGTACTTAATTAGTATCTAATGTAACTTAATTACATAAAAAAATAATTCCCCCAACACTTGACTTATACTTCGAAAAACTCTCTAAATGACTGACGTCAGCAAATAATAATTAATGACTACAAGTTTTTCTTACCCAGTTATAATTTATTTTATTTATAAAATATCTGTAAAATAAAATATCAAATAAACATAATATGTTATTATTACTTTGTTCATTACTTATTCTTTATGTAATAAAACCTATTTAGTAGTTAGTTTACTTAATAACTAATTTTATACCTAACTAATTTACAGTTTATAGTAATTTTATTTTTGTTTTTTCATCCCAGTAATGATTCTTGTAGCCTGAAAACCAAAAAAAAAAAAAATAATGAAAAAAAGGTAATATATTTGTTAATTCAGCTTTGGATGATGCATTATGATCACTGTCCAATGTTTACTGATATTAAACTCACCAACAGATGCTAAATACATAAATAAAGGAATACATATACTATAATATACCAACTTACATAATTTATATTTATTTCAACTTATGAACTAAATTTAAAGCTATATTAAAACATAACTTTACATTTTATCATTAGATAATTTAATTTTACTTGATTTTAATATTTCTTAAATACTACTGAATATTGAATATAATAACTAACTAATTGTTATAAAATTAACTAATTTTTTTGTACCTTTTCTGTGTTGCTTTTGTAGCCTGAAGTACATCCAACTATACAACACTTAGCCACCATCGCAATAAAACTACCTACTACCAATTAAGTAATGACAAAAAGACATACAGCCATACAGATTACAGAACAATATTGTCGAAATTAGAAAATTATTTTGTTCGTCTTTTTCGTGCAGGTATCATGTTATCTACAGGTAGGTGTCGGTTGCGTTCTTATCACCTTTTCACGGTCTACAATAATTGTGGAATGTTTTTAATTCGTATTTTAAGTCGTTTGGACGATATTAACGAATTGAATAAAAAACTTCGATTTCCCAGTACATACAAATGTAAACGTAGGCTCACTGACTACTAGCGCTAATAGTTCGCCAACCTGTGTAGATAACCGTGGTCCATAGACATACTATACAGAACATGATGATTATTATTTATTTTATTTTATTGTTATTGACGACGTTGATTAACACTTTTCCATGAACTATTTTTTAATCGATGGTTATAGGTAATTTACTAATTTAATTTAAATTTATATTTATCCATAGCTTCAAATGATAAAATATAGCCATATACCTAGTAGGGCTGTTCGATTATTTTTTTTACCACTCGATTATTAATTTTACGTTTTATCGATTATTTCGATTAATCGAAAATTAAAAATCAAGCCAAAAATTGATTTCATAACGACTAATTAATCGATAAAGCGATTTTTTAATGACTGAATAACCGATTAATCGATTTTTTTAATGACCGAGTAACCGATTAATCGATTTTTTTAATGACTGATTAACCGATGAATCGATATTTTTACTAAGGGCAAATTGATTCCTTAACTTCTACACAATTTTAAACAAGATTTGCAGTAAGTCATTTAGATGTAGATGTCCACTTGTATATTATCCTTAAGGGGTATGAATACTATTGAAATAATCTATAAAAATGTACTTTTGTATTTCCAATAATATGGTTTATTAAGTGGTTTGAGAGTAAAAACACCTATTATCAATATTGTAGAAGAGAAGTTAATCTGTGCCTGTATAGAAGTCAAATTTTAATATTTGTAATTACTAAACTCAATAATTCAAATTCAAAAAGTAAAATATCATAAGTTTTAGAGTTAAATATTGGACATTGAAAATAAAATATCAAAAATCGACTCCTATACAAGCCTAGATAAACTCCTTCTCTTAAATTTGTATAATAGGTGTTCATACTGTAATGTCACTCAGTAAGCTATATTATTGGAAATACGAAACTAAGTTTCAGTGTTTCACTAAAATTCACATTTGTAATTAGAGTGTAAAATGTTCCACTAATGACATGTGCGTGCACGTGCGGGTGTGCTCCACTATTTATTTTATACACAGTCACCCACACTAATAATCACTTACTACGCACACATTTACACGACCTGCATGCACACCATTAGAAAATTGCCTATACCGAACTCCTTAAGCCGCATTCCCACGACTGGTGTACTTGTCAAATACGCCAATAATTGTACATTTGGCCAGTGCACGATGACCCTCAGTTCACACGACTGGTGTACTTGACAAGTACGCCAATACTTGAGCACTTGTACAAGTAGCCAAGTACACTGTTCCCACTGCTGGCTGTTATAGCAAATATTGGTGGTGGGGGGGCACACTTAAATAATAATATTTTCAATTTTTTGTTTTTGGGAAATTTAAGTTAGAAATTAGTCTAGTCCTAATCGTTGTGTGGTAAAGACTTAGGTACCTACTAGATAGCTTATTATTTATTATTGTAGTTTAACACAATTTAATAAATAATTTATTGGACTATGATAAGTGAAAACGACAAAGCACTAGTTTGTGCTTCATTTATTGTGATGTGTGGTGAATATTTAAAAAATAAGAAAAAAATCAAAAGTCCAAAGAAGAGAAGGTGGTGGATGACGACAATACATCAAAGTCGCAAGAAGTAAGTTTATTACGTTTTAAATCCTTATAGCTACCAATGTATATATATTTTGTATATATAAAATACTAGAATATTAAATAGTCAATATATACTTTTATTTCATATTCAAAATAAGTTTTACTATTTAAAATGATTTACTTGTTTACTACGTAAGTATTACGATTTACGGATCCGCAATAATATATTCTACCTACAGTGTAGCTGCTGAATAGCGGACAATTTCCCCCCGGAC